TGGTGGTGCGTTTGTGTATTTCCAGAGTGGTCTTAATCTCAGATTCAGTCAGTGGGTTTTGTAGGAAAGAGAGTTTCACTGGAACCATGATATCTTGCACTTTAAAAGGTAAGAGAGATAATGTATGTGTCTAGGGCTTGGTTAAAGCGAGGATTCTAGTTTATGAGGCAACTGCCCTGCACTAAGATGATTCTTTAATCTGTAAGGTGCTATACTGTGTATACTATGTAACATGCTAATACTATGCAGTGTTACAGTAGTTTATTTCCTCTTTTTCCCCACTACCATACTCAGTATTGCTAAGGGACCCTTTCTCTGGAGGAAGAAACGATATTGTGTGTGGAAAGTGTGATGAGCTAGAAAGAGAATGGGCTTCAGAGTCAGCCACAGGACCCTGGTTGAGTTACTGGCCTAGTTTGCTCATCTGTAAATGGGGATAATTAGATCATAGGGATGATTATGTGCAAAGGTAGTCTGCAGAAGCCTAGCACAGTGCCCCACCTCCTTTATACTTCTCTTCTCCTTGCTCCTTATCATAGAGCTTTGAAAGACTATGGTAATTGTTTCCTTAGTAATACAGCTAAATACCTATGGGATTTGCCTGGGAAAAGAACTCAATAAAGTCAGTGACAGAACTGTTTCATTGGTTGTTGGCTTCATGAAGATGTTTTTCAGGGTGGGGTTGCTGCCATTGGTCCAGGAGAGGAAATGTGCAGCAGTGAGGACAGACTGCTTTTAGAGTTGTGCAAAAACAGATGCTAAGCATTTAATGTCACAATATCTAAGTAGGATATAGGGCCAGCTCCTGTTGGAATACAAAGCATGATAAGCTAATAATTAGTTGTACTAGGATTTATGCTGTAAAGACATACAAGATTGATGCTGCTTTAGATGAGCTCTGTTGGTAAGGGTAGTTTTCTTGGTTCTGGATAGCCATGATTCTTAGGTCTGTGATCTGCTGGTAACTGCTATTTTATTTTCTTACCAGTATCACCATATTTCTTTTGTTAAATAAATACACAGATTACCAGAGGAGGTATTATTTGAAAGCTCTGTAGCTCCATGGCCTGGTTAGTGTAATAATTGTTTTCAGAGAATGCCTATCTAGTGGATTATGACCAGAGTTAGTTGATTATCAGTAAGTTAAGTTTCTGAAATGTCCTGTCGTTATTCTGTAACCTGAGCAGACAGCTGCAGCTTCTTCACTGCTACCCAAGTAATGATGTGGGGGGGGCAGCGTGAATGTTATTTGGGGAGAAAAGGAGCTGTCAGATGGAGAGGGCCAGAGATTTCATTCCAAGGGTTAAACGTTCTGAATATGTGAGCTTGTCAACACTTTCTTGTAAGAAAATGCTCTATACTGTAATTCTACATATTTTACTTTCTTTTGGAAATGTTTGTGATGAAAATGTTTATTAATAGCCCAAATATTTGGGGCTTACAGTCACTTTGTATAGAAGCAAATTAGTCTTATTGTTAAATTCTGATGCTAAGCATTAGCACTAATAAAGCCTGTTTTGCTTAAATGTAAAAGCTAGTTTTACTAAGTGTGCTCTGACTTAAAGCATGTTTACTTTCTTTCTTTTTTAAAAAACAGCTGTGCAACCATATTGCCTCTGGGAAAAAATGTCAATACGTTGGGAACTGTTCCTTTGCTCATAGTCCTGAGGAACGAGAAGTGTGGACATACATGAAGGACAATGGAAGTAAGTTACTGTGTTCTGTGTCCTTAACATCTGAGAAGGCCAGCTCCCCCGAAAGTTTCCTTTCTCCCTATAAATATGCCAGCTTCCTGTGAACACAGAAAGCAGTTTGCATTCTGCACAATGACAGCCTGTTTCATCACTATGTTGGTGGCAGTGACCACAGCCCCAGTGGATTGGAATCTGACTTCTCATGTGTTTTTGGTTAGGCTGGATTTCAATAAGAATATATAGGTCTGCATCCTTTAATGCAATAGGTGTGTTCGTGAAAAATGATCTAGGGAAGTTCAATTTTTCCATGAATTTTTAAGGCAAAAGTTTGTCTTCTGTTGTGACAAGTCACCCTCTGATCAATCTGGTCTCTGGACAAGGCCAGATTCCGAGGCCCAAAGAGAAAATGTTTATCTTGGTTAAGTTTCAAATATATTGCGGATCCTCTGAAAGGAGCTTCAGACCACCTTTCACTTTTGACCCTAAAATGTTTCACTGTAAGGATGATTGTTCTTTAAATAAACTAATGGAAATATATGAGTACCAACTGCGGTCTCTGGATTGTAGGGATCAACTAGATTTAAGGGTTTCATCTGCCCAGTGACTTGTGCGGAAAGGGTCTCCCTCTAGCTGTCTTTCTTAGTATAAGGACATATACTGGCCCTCCTGAGAATCTCCTTGTTTACCAGAACCTGCTACTCCTGGTCTTAAGGGAGCAACCGGCAGCCACTGCCCAGGACGTGGTCCCAGTGGCACTGTTGTAATTGCACTCAGCATGCTGGTTCCCTAAGGCCGAGGCTTGATGGGTGGGCTCCCATCACATCAGACTCTTGGCCCAGGAGTAGTCTGTTTCCCATCCTTCTCAGTGAACACTGGGGAGTGTAGCAAAGCCAAGCCGCCCAAGCCATGTGAGCAGCCTTGTGTGGTCATGACACTGACAATGAATGTGTAAACAGGGTGACAGGAAGACTGCGGGGCTTCTTTGGCACTTTCTGAGTTTTAAACACCCATAGTGTCTTGCAGATATGGGGAGGAGTTAATTAACATTGAAAACGAATATTTCTGGGCCGGAGATTTAGCTCAGTGGTTCTGCCACCTGCCTCGCAAGCGCAAGGACCCAAGTTCAATCCCCAGTACCCAAGAAAAACAAAAAACCCTAATATTTATGTCTAATACTCCTGAAATTGGTTCTTCTGCAAGAGTTTATCTGCTCCTCTGACTGAACTGACTCCCTGTGCCTCAGCCCCTTCATATTTGTTTTGAAAATGTACTCTGCCTGATACAGAACGTATGTGTCCAAATGGCATTTCATTACTGCTGCTGACAGTAATTGATTTTTCTTTAGTACAAGATATGGAACAATTTTATGAACTTTGGCTAAAAAGTCAAAAAAATGAAAAAAGTGATGACATAGCCAGTCAATCAAACAAGGAAAATGGAAAACAAATTCACATGCCAACAGATTATGCTGAAGTCACTGTAAGTACCATTGGCCATTTTTCCCTTCCTTTGGTTGGAGCCGTCAGTGGGAGACTTTCCTATTCTCCCAGTTCTGGCTCTGTCCCCCGCTGCCTGTCCTTCTTGGGGTTGTCCTCTTTTCTTTTAGCTGGTTTTCTGCCATTAGCTTCCGTCTTCTCATGCCCAAACACCCTTGATCCTTGCCCTGACCCTTCTTCTGCACTGAGTCCAAGGCCTAGTCCAATTGACGTCTCCAGGTGGGGCTGTCATGACGGCGAGTGAAATGTAAGGAGTGTGTGACACGTACCTGAGAGGTGGGCCCCAAGAAGGACTTAGGAAGTGTGTGCTGTCTGGCCCCTACTCCCCATCCTTTAAATTTTTTTTTTAATTTAGGGTTGGGGGTTTAGCTCAGTGGTTCTGCCACCTGCTTTGCAAGTGCAAGGTCCCGAGTTTGATCCCTGCTACAAAAAAAAAAGTTTTATTTTGAGACAGAGTCTTGCTAAGTTGCAAAATTATCCAGGTTGGGTTCAAATTTATGATCTTCCTGCAGTCTTCCTGGGGTTTTTTGTTTGTTTGGTGTACATAAGTGTGTGTGTCATTCTGCTACTTGTTTCTTTGGGGGGGGGGTCCAGTGTTTCATTTTTTTCAGTTTTTATTAGGACGTCTGCAATAAAAGTGATTACATTTTTCATGGGGAGTTGGTACATATACATAACACATCTTAATTCATTTTTCAACTCCTTCCCCTCTCTTCCCTCCCCCTCTATCTCTTGGATCCCTTCCCTTTTGCAAAAGATCTACCTCCCTATTTCCTATTGCCTGTCTTTTATTTTGAGTTTCTCATAAAAGAAGCTATGTGATATTTAAGCTTATGTATGTTATTTCCCATAACATTATCATTTCAAGGTGCATCCATCTCCCTATAAATGACTTGGGTTTATCCTTCTTTATGGCAGAGGTGTATTCCATTGTGTGTAAATATACATTTTCTTCATTTTCTCCACTCATCTGTTGATGGACATATAGGCCACTTCCAAGATTTAGCTATTGTGAATTGTGCTGCTAAACATGGATATGCATGGAACACTGTAATGACGTCTTTTAACTCTTTCAGGAAGATCCCTAGAAGGAGAATTGCTGGGTCAGATGATGCTACTTGTTTCTTGTATGTTTTGTGGCACCTTTCCATCTTGACTCAGTCAGGCCTACACAGGGCTTATGCATGGCCTGGTCTTGTGTGTCTTTCCCCCACCCAGGATAGCTGAGAAATGCTACCCCAACTCTTAAGAGTGCATCTGCCGTAGCATTTAAATCCTACTCTTGAGGAGGCCTGTCCCCTGCAGGGCCAGCTTCATTTTTGTTTGTTTGTTGCTGTTACTGTTTTGAGATAGGGTTTCAGTATGTTTTCCGCCCAGGCTGGTCTAGAACTTGGTGCGGTCCTCTTGCCTCGGCCTCCCAAGTGCTAGGTTTATAGGTATGTCCCATCACGTTTAGATCAAGGGCAGCTTCTTCACTTCCCTGGTGCTGGCCCAAATCTGGGGCTCAGTTCATGGGATCACACGGAATGGCTACTACTCTGTCAGAGTAGCACACCTTGACCTTTTACACCCTCCCTCTTGTTCCTCTTGGAGTTCATCACTATTCCTGGAGTCCTTACTTGACCCTGCTTCCTGCCCTCCCCGTAAACATCCTCATCTGAAAAGAAAAAAAAAAACCAAAAAACCATTTATCAGGGCCTGGGATTTAGCTCAGTGGAGGACCCGAGTTCGATCCTCCGTACCAAAAAAAAAAAAATCCTCATCTGGACAACAGCTCCCATGGCCTGTGTGCTAGGTAATTCCTGGATGCTGGGCCAGATTCGTCCCGCTCCTCTGCTTCCTGTATGTGTCGGCTCTTTTCGCCACACTGTGGTCCTTTCCTTGATCTTACTTTTCACTTTGTGTCCTTGCCTGGCTCCCTGAGAATAGATAGAGTCTGGCTCTTACAGCTGGTGGCGTCTGGACCTTCAGGTGCCCTGAAGAGTGACAGGGCACTGACATCACCACTGACGGGCCACATGCCTTCGCCACCCATAGGTGGATTTTCACTGCTGGATGTGCGGGAAGAACTGTAACAGTGAGAAGCAGTGGCAAGGCCACATCTCTTCAGAGAAGCACAAGGAGAAGGTTTTCCACACCGAAGATGACCAGTACTGCTGGCAACACCGCTTCCCAACAGGATATTTCAGTATTTGTGAGAGGTATGTAAGTTTGTACCTTTTTTCTGCATGAAAACTGCTGATCTTTGGTAACCTGCATGGGCCCTATGTCAGTAGGCAGAGGATGTCTGTTGTGGTAGATCCTCCTGGTGGGTCTGGGCCCTGACAGACCCTGGCAGGACACTTGGGTGTGGCCTTGAGGTGTTTAGCTGCTCTTCTCCCTTCTGGGGTTGCAAGTCCAGACTTAGTGGCCTTCTGAGACTGGCTTCAGCTGTGTCAAGGTAACTGAATAGAGAAAGAAATATGTTCGTTTGGTTTGGCCCTCACCATCTTTGCATCCTCAACTGTGATTCTGTAACCCTCTGCCATAGCCTTTGCACAAACTGATGTGCATCCAACTTGAGGTGGCTTTTAAGCTATATTTCAAGAGCAAATCTAGAACTCATATCAGAGGAAAATGATAGCTTAATAATATCACTCTTGTTTTCTTGGAAAATATTTAAATGAAAGCTGGATAATTTGGAATTACTCTTCATTTTGTCAATATTTACATTTCATTCCAAATTCAGACCATGGATTCTTAAAATCATTAAAGACATTTTTTACTTAATGTCACTTCTGATGTCTTTCTGCTGCACTAATAATGACTACGGTCTCTTTCCCCACCAGTCAGTACTTTTTTTTCCTTTTTGTGGTGTTGGAGAGTGAACCCAGGGCTTCATGTATACCAGGCAAATGCCCTAAGCTGAACTTCAACCAGTCCCAGTCAGTACTTTTCAGTGAATATATTTAAATAGTTTAAAGTCCTGATTCCTCTCGTCAATATCACGGCTGTAAAATATTCGCTTTCAAAGGCTTAAGATTCCTGTGGGGTATGGTGGCAGCCACCTGTTATCCTAGGATTTGGGAGGCTGAGGCAGGAGGATCGCTGCTAGTGCAAGGCTAGCCTGAGCTACATAGTTCAGGACCAGCCTAAACTACATAGTGAGACCCAATCTCAAAAAAAAAAAAAAAATTTTCCTAACTGACCCTAGGGCATACCTCATTGTAGAGCATGTGCTGAGGCCTGAATTTTTTCCCCGGCACCAAAAAAAAGAGAAGATTTTTAGATAAAAGTTATATGCAGTTCACAAAGCTAGTGATGAATATATTTTCAAGAATTGCAGCATAGTTTTTATAAGTGACTTTACCACACCACTGTCTCCCTACAGGTATATGAATGGAACCTGCATTGAAGGAAGCAGCTGTAAATTTGCACATGGGAATGCTGAGCTTCACGAATGGGAAGAAAGAAGAAATGCCCTAAAAATGAAGCTCAGCAAAGCAAGGAAAGATCACTTAATTGCCCCAAATGATAATGACTTTGGAAAATATAGTTTTTTGTTTAAAGATTTAAACTAATATGCTGACTTTTATGTAACCCAATCAGAGCATTGACCAGAAAAACTGAAAGTGTTCTGAGGCACATAGCAGAGGAGCTGCAGGCTTTCTGCTAGTATTGGCGTATATCGTTCCTCCCGAGCAGCACCCAGTAGGTAGGAAAACGGGCTGGTTAGCAGGTCTGGCCAAGCTCTCATGGAGCCATTGGCCTCAAATGGTGAAGTGACTGCTGCCTGGTTGCCATTTGTTGAACAGACTTTTGGATGAAGTGTTGGGGAAAAGAATAAGGTTATGTCTAGGGCAGCTCTTTGAGTTGGTCCTTCAAGTAAGAACCATGACCATAAGAGAATAAACACTTGTACTGGGGTCAGAATACATGATGGATGAAAATCTCTATGTGATTTAGTGGAATGAATTTAATATAATAAAGTTTGCTACTTATCTGTATGTAGGTTGCTAAAAAGGATTTTCTTAACTCAGATTTTAAGCCAAATAACCATTTAACACTAGTATATGTTAAATGGGGTATTTTTCTGTATTTGTATGTTTCACTATAATAAAGGAACGGAGATAATGTGCATTGAGAATATTTTGAAAAATAATCAATTGATTCAAATTTCATTTCTTGGTCTTTTGCTGTTTCAGTGATGATTTTGAAAGATTAAACTTGTACTGTTGGTATTGTGTAGTGTCTGGACCAATATTGCCTGTAATAAAAGATTTTATATAGAGAGATGGCTTTCATTTTTTGGTGTGGTCTTTTCTCCATGAATTGTTGGAATTAGGTGCTAAAATCACAAGTTGATTTATAAAAAAATAATTTTACTTAAGCAGTGAGCAAGCGATTGCCAACTGGAGGGATATGAAAGCAGCCTTTCCCTTCTTCCCCACCTCTAAATTCCGGCTGAATTAGAGGCTTCTTGTATTGACTGAACTAGCCTAGGGCTCCTCTCCCTCTCACTCAGAGGAGTTAGATTAGCAGGGAGGAAAATGGTGAGGTTTGACACCTGGGGCTGAGGGAATCCACCACACTGTTCAGCTTCACACCCCACACAAGCTTTTGTGGTTGAAAGAGATCACTGAGGGTCGAGCAGGACACGAGGGCTGGGACCAGTGAGCCAGGGAGAAGAGTGGTGATCAGTGTCAGCTGAGGAACTTGGAGGATAGGATCTGCTGGGCTGTGATGCAGCAACCCTCTGACCTTCAGGCAGACTTACTTCCTCAGGACAACTAAGGGTGAGCGGTATGTTGGGTGTACTGCAGGTACTGAGATGTGAGAAGTAGAACATTTAGCAGAACCAGAGGCCGAGTCGGAAGTCTTTTCTCCACCTGTGGAAAGGCCCTCAAGACCACTTATTTTTTGCCATGCGTACTAGGTAAGTGTTGTACAGCTGAGCTACAACCCCAACCCAAGGTTTACCCCTTCCCACAAACTCCCTCTACATTTTCTGTGCCTCGGCTTTCCACCTTCTCAGCAATTCTTTGTGCTCTGAACCATCCTTTCAGTAAATTCCATTTCTGCCTAAATCAGCCAGTTTCATGCTCTGGTTTGCAATTAACAACCCTGATGGCTACAGCCTTGGTCTCAGCATTAGGAAGTAAAGTTAATTATTCTACAGTGAGATCACAGCCATATCCTACAAGTGAATGGCTCACTGGGCACAGGAGGTGATGAGGGGGAACAGAAAAGGAAAAAAATCAGAGTTAAACTCCAATCCCATATTGAAAATAAAGGAAACAGGAATAACTAGTGTATCTATTTGGACATGTTATTTCATGGAACATTTTTTTTGAGACAGTCTCCCTATATAGTTCAGGCTGGCTTTGAATTATGTACCCCAAGCTAGCCTTGAACTCACAGCGATCTTCCTGCCTAAGCCTCCCAAGTACTGAGATTACAGGCATGTGCCACCATGCCCAGAATGGGAAATTTATTTTTGAGATTCAATTTATATAACACAAGCCCTGCTCTTTTGAAACAGGTGGTCTTGCTATGTAGTCTAGGCTGGCCTTTAATTTGTAATCCTCCAATTACAGCCTCCCAAGTGCTGGGATACAGGTGTGTGCCACCACACCTGGCTACACTTCACCATTCTTTTTTATTTTTGGTAGTGGGGATCGAACTTGGGTCCTTGCACTTGCAAGGCAGGCGCTAGAACCACTGAGTTAAATCCCCGGCCCACTCCACCATTCTTAAGTGTACAACTTCATGGTTTTTAGGATATTCACAATGTTGTGTTATAATTACCATAATCAATTTTAGAATATTTTCATTATCTAAGAACCCCTTAACCACCATTCCCCAAATCTGCCCACTACACTGCCTCTCAAGCTGTAGGCAACCATTAATCTGTTTCTATGGATTCTCCTTCATATTTTCATATAAGTGGAATCATACAACATGCATGTGTTCTTTTATGACCTGCTTCTTTCCTTTGGCATACTGTTTGGAGGGTCATTCTTTCCCTTAGCATAGTATTTGAAGTGTCTTAGCATCTGTCAATATGTCATCGGTTTTTATGGCTGAATACTACTCTATTGTCTGGACAGATCACATTGTTTGTCCATTCATAAGCTGATAGACATTTGCATTGTTTCTACTTTTTGGATATATGGATATGCACATTTGCAAGTTTTTATGTCTACATTTTTACTGGCTGTCATGAGTTGCCCCATCTACCTGAAAAAGTATGTAGAGGTTGCAGGTGAATCCTTCCTGGGAACCCTGTGATAGACAGAGTCTTGTCCCTTGTCCTCACCCTTCCTGGGGCTGTATACCCCATGAAAACTCTTTGCATAGAGTCCTTGATGTTCTTTTGATTTAGTTCCAGGGACTTGCATTAGTTGAAAAACTGACTGAGAGCATATTACCCAAACAGTTGGTTCAGGCTGCAAACACTGTAGTGGGCTGGGGAGATGAGAATCCAGGCTTCTTGTGAATATCTCCTGCAAGGGATAAACACCAACCTGTAAAAGCCCATTCTGGGGTCATGATACAAAGTCTCCAAGAAATACGGACACCATTATCTAAAATACCCAGGCCGAAGGCTAGGCTTCCCTCCTACATTAGCTGCTATCTTAGACCATGCTAGGTATGTACTAGTTTGTAAGTAAATACTTGGAAGCTTTAAAAATTAAATGAACAGAGCTGGGTATGGTGCTGCATGCCTGTAACCCCAAACTAGTAAGTTGAGGCAGGAGGATGGCAAGTTTAGCTTGGGCAATTTAGCAACACCTTGTTACAAAATGAAAATTTTTAGGGCTGGGGATTTAGCTTAATGGTGCCACTGCACAAGGTCTCAAAAGCACAAGGTCCTAGGCCAGGGATTTAGCTCAATGGTTCCAGCACCTACCTTGCAAGCACAAGGTTCGAGTTTGATCCCCGGTACCAAAAAAAAAGGCACAAGGTCCCAAGTTCGATCCCCAGTACCAAAAAAAAAATTTAAATAGAGCTGGGGACATACCTTAATGCAAAGGCAGCTCTGGGTTCACCTAAATAAAATAAATAAATAGTACCTAAATAAAGCTGGAGGTATAGCTCATTGATAGAGCACTCACCTAGCACACTCAAAGCCCTGGCTTTGATCCCCAGCACCACATAAAAAATAAAAGTAAAAATGAGCATTATTTGATAGAGCTATAGAAAATGGCCATGAAAGCTCAGATTCTGGCTGGTCAGGATAAGATAGGGCTGACCTAACCTTTGAGGAGCAGTGGTTTCAGGTGCTCAGGAAGAGAAGAAGACAGAGCACACCCTTTTGTTAATCCAGGGTGGTTCCTTGCTGCTACCTCAGAATCCCCTGCATTATCTCACAAGGGATTGTTGGTCTAAGATAAACTGGGCAGCAAAAGTACTTGGAACCTTATAAAGGCCTGCACAAACGTCAGCTGTCTTGTGGAGGCACAGGGCAGGTTCTGTTCTGGCAACCCACAAGTGAGAACTGCTGATGTGACCTTGTTTGTTTCTGTTAGTAATATACAGTACCACGTAACCCAAATCTACACAAAGAAATCAAAAGAACCAGAAATGACAAATCAGAAAGTTAATAAACCCCACCAACAATATATTCTCTCAAGGTTTTAAAGACAAGATTATGTAAGAATAATATAACACTGTATGGTTGGGTTTGTAACAAAGCAGGATAAGTAGTAGTACAAAAAAAGGCAGGAGGAACTGGAGGTATACTGGGGCAGTTTCTATATCTTACTGGAAATTTAATATATATCTGAAGCAGATTCTAAAAACATGTATACTTTAATCCCCAAAGCAACTGTTACGTATATAGATGTTAAAAATCATTAAAGGAATTAGTGGTAAGCTAAATAATTTAAAAAGACAGTAAAGAATAAACAAAAAAGATATAGGATATAGTAAACGACAAAATGGCAGGTGTGAATGAGCCTCGGACATGTTGGGCCCTGATGTTGGGCCCCATTGGTTGGTACACTGAGCACAGCTGGCCAGGTAACCTAGCCAGAGCCCATTTTACATCTGTGGAAACAGAACCAGAGAAGGATGACAAGATGTGTGTGGGAGTCACACAGCTGACCTGTGCCAGGTGAGTTCTCACCTTAACCTCTGGCTCTCAACTGTGCTTTTCCCTTTTTTCATAACATCGTGTGGCCTTAATTCCCTTAAGGTATATTTGCTCTGCTCTGTTAGTAGGGTTTTTGATTTGGGGTTTTTTTTTGTTTGTTTTGAGGTAGGGTTTTTTGGGGGGGGGTGTTCCTGGAGATTGAGCCCAGAGACTGCTGAGCTACATCCCTAACCATTATTCGTTTTTGTTTGTTTTGAGACAGGTCTTGCTAAGTTGCCCAGGCTGTCTTCAAATTTCCCATCCTCCTGCCTCTAATCCACCTGTGTTTGTAATTGCTGATGTTGGAGGCCAAATCTTAACCCGAGGCCCCTGCAGCCATGTAATTATGTACATTCACTTACCAGGGTACACAGGTCCTCTTCCTGATGGAAACAATTCCTGACTAATGTTGTCAAATCACATGTCATCCCTTGCCAACTTCATTCACCTTTTTAATCACAAGTCATACTTATAAAGGATCTAACATTTACAGCCAGAAGACACGCATTACTGAACACCCCCTAGTATTGTGCCTATCTTGTAGGAATGGTGCTCAAAACACCTTTTAGAAAACAACCTGCGCATAACAACCCCAGGAGCCTGAGATTCTCCTGTACGCTGTACTTACGTCCTCTAACTACTTTCTAAAGAGCGACTACTGTAACTTTGATATGTGTCCAGGAAAAGAGCAATCTAGACCTTGGGGCTGCAGAGTGGGCTGCTGGAGTGACTTCTTAGCCAGGACAGCCAGCCTTTCAGTCTGAATTTCTCACCTGCTAGCTTTGCAACTTCGGTCAAGTGAATTCTCCAAGCCTTGGTTTCCCTTCTAAAGTGAGCGAGTACAGCAGAACAAACCCTCCTCATAGCGCTGTCATGAAAGTAAATGGTCACAACAGTAAGATTAAGGGCCTGGGATTCAGTTCAGTGGCACCGTGCCTGCCTCTCAAGCTCGAGGTCCTGAGTTCGATCCCTGGTACGGGGTGGGGGTTATGGAGCACTTATGTGCCTGGCAAGTTCCATGAATCGCTTCGTTTAATCCGGAGGGCCGTAATGCTATCATCGCCCTTTTACAGATGTGCAGGAAGAGGAGTGAAGCTGAAATCTGGCCGGTCTCACTCCTGAGTTCTTGAGCCCTTCTCGCTTCTGCATTTTTTTTCTTCCTTCCGAAAAGCAGCACTTAGTCCTCCAAAGTATGTAGTGAGAGGACTGGACCCGACTGCCATTACCATCATAACTCCTAAAAAACATCTGGGCAACCTGGACTTCAAATAGGGCGGCGTTCAAACGTGCACTTGCCGGAAAGATCTGAGAACCTCTCGTACCCAAAGGTCAAGGGCGGCGCCTGCGCAGACTCTCTGGATGGAGGTGGAACCCGTAGGAAGATGATGGGGCGGCCCTCGGTGCGGGCCTTAGCGCAGGATCTATGGGTGCGGGGGCGTGGCAGCAGGCGGAGTCGGTGTCTGCGCACACTCCGTGGTCGGGGGGCGGGAGGCCGAGGCGGCACGGTTGACGTGGAGGGTGCGGGTTAGCTGGCGCGGCGGGCTCTGGGATTGGGGAGCCACAGGCCTGGCCGGGCCCCCGGGCCTGAGGCAGCGGCAGCGGCGGCGGTATAAAGCCGGCGGCGGGGAGCATGTAATGTCGGAATGCGGAGGCCGCGGTGGCGGCAACAGCAGCAGCGACGACGCCGAGGACGAGGTTGGCGGCGGCGGCCCGGCGGGCTCCGGCTCCCTCAGCCCGGCCCCGGCCGGAGAGTCCTCGGCGGGCCGTCTCCGCCGCGGGCTGCGCTGCGCCTCCCTCATGGCGCGCCAGAGGCCGGAGCTGCTCTGCGGAGCCGTGGCGCTCAGCTGCGCGCTGCTTCTCGCCCTCAAGTTCACCTGCAGGTGAGGCGGCCGGGGCCCCCAGTCCGGCCCTGCGCTCTCCGCACAGGCGGCAGCTTCTGGCGGGCTCCAGGCCTTCGGGGTTAGGATCGGGGTCGGGGTCGGGCCCGGCCAGACCTTGTCAGGAGCGACCAGCTTGACCCTCTCCAGGGCTGCGGCCGGGGCGCCCCACTTCCCAGCTCCCGGTCAGCACGGCGCCATAGGTCGAGGTTTCCCCGTGCTCCGCGGCTCGCCTTCATTTCGCTTTAGTAGGGAGGGAGGTGGGCCCTGTTTTGGGGCTGTCAGGATCTCTGGGGCTGTACCTGTCACTTCTGCCCAGATTGTAGGACCCTCGATTTTCATTTATTTCATTTCCCTTCTACTTCAGTGTACTGATCCACAACCGTTTGAGAGTTCCAGCCTCCTTTGGGAATTGAGGCATTCATTGATCCAATGATTATTTATGTCTCTATGTGCCCAGCACTCGTTAAATCAGTAAAGACAAAAGTCTCTGGTCTCTTAAGTGGATATTCCCGAGGTGGGACAGGCGGTGAACAAGTAAACATGATTTTAAAGGGCTTCAGTAGGACCTATGGGAATGAAGGGATGAGGGCGGGCCAGAAAGGCCTTCCTAAGGAAGTGAGATTTGAAGCTCACACCCGGAGAGGAAGGGGCGGGCCCTGGGAAGTTCCGGGGGAGTGTACCAGGTAGAGGGAAGGTAAGTCCAAAGGTCTTGAAGTTGGAAGAGCTTGGTGTTTTCCTTGGAACTGGAAAAAGGGCCTGACCGGTGAGCACAGTGAGCAGGAAGAATGAAAGCTAATGTGCATCTTTTTAGGAAAAGTACATAGATACAATATTTTATTTTTGTTTTTTGAGACAGGGTCTCGCCTTGTAGCTCAGGCTGGCCTCAAACTCGTGGCGATCCTCCTGCCTCAGCCTCCCAAGTGCTGGGATCACAGGTGTGTGCCACCATGTCCAGCCAGATACAAAATTTAAATTTCAGCTGTACTGGCTTTCTGGGCCCATGGTGTATCTTCTGAGACTCCAGTTTATAAAATCTCTTTGACATTGATACAGCCTCTTGGTACGTCGGTCAACAGGAAGATTTCATCCCTGTACATTGAGTTTATTGAGCACAGTATGTGGCCCCTCATGTCAAAGAGGTGTCAGAAGATTGGGATTTTAGTGGAAAGAGATTATAGTAACTATCATTTAGGCATTTGCCGTGTGCCAGGTATTCTACCATCAGAGTTTCTCAGCACTGTTGCTGACTTGAGCCAGATAATTCTCTGTTGTAGGGAGCTGCCCTGTGCATCCTGGGGTGATCAGTACCATCCCTGGCCTGTACTTAATGAGGCCAGTGGCACCAAGACTGGACATTGACGGATGCCTGCTTGGGAACGTTTACTCATTTACAACATTTGAGAACCTCGTATGGATCTCATTTAAATCATGCAGTAAAGTCTGAATGTACTGTTTTCCTTCCCAGTTTATAGATAGAGTCTAGCCTTGTTCGTGTTACAAAACCTGCCCGTCACACCTATATTAAGGTGACTGAGGTGGATTTGAATTCTTCATTGTCGGGAACTGGACTCTTGGCTGTGCGATTTATCATTGTTCTCTATAAAGAAAATATACAAAGAAATTCAAGTTAGCACTTGTGTTCAAATTAGGAAGCAGTTCCCTCCCCCAAGGGTGTAGACCTTTTTTTAAAAAAAATATTGGTTTGTACAGCTCCAAATTACATTTCTGAGACAACATAACTAATAGAAAAGTCCTTTGAGGTCTCAGGAAGAAGGGAGAGTGCAGATCAAATTGTGAGAGCCAGCCAGACAAGATCCTTCCCTGTTTCTTCCAGAGAGTGAGCTCATGAGTGGCTGCTTCTTATCCATCTTCTTTCTGTGCTACTGGCAAATGTGACAGTCTTAGTAGACTCAGATTAATTTTTTTCATCTTTTATGATGCAATGGTGTCATGATACTATTTTATTGCTGTACAACTGATTAATATTTCAGTACCTCTTGATTTCAAATCTTTAATGTGGACAGAGGCTTAAGAGAGAATAAACGGAGTCTTTGGAGTTGAGGCTTTTTTAAATTTAATTTTTATTAATAGCTGCAGGCCCAAAATGAGTAATTTGCCCTCTTCTGTATCTGTTGCTTAGCTGAGTTCAAACCAAATAGTATAAAAAGGTTAATTTTAGGTTGAGCCACCATTAGTAATTGTACATTTCTGGGCACTTAATGTCTACTTTGAGCATTTCTGTTTATTAAATCTGTATGAATTCATCCTCCTGGCTTTCCTTTTACCCTGATTTGAAGGGTAAATAATGGGTATGTGTATTAGTGTGTGTGACTATACACAAGTCAACATGTATTCATTGTGCTTAATTGCGTTTTATTTCAAAGGTGCCTCAGATATTTGATTTTTGGTTTTTGGTTTTTGGGGGGTTTTTTTTGGTACCAGGGATCGAACTCAGGTCCTTGCGCTTGCGCAGCAGGTGCCGAAACCACTGAGCTAAATCCCTGTAAATCTTGGCTTTTTTTTTTTTTTTTTTTTGGTACTGGGGATCAAACTCGGAACCTTGTGCTTGTGCCTGCTTGCGCGGCAGGCGCCGATTTTGGGGGTTTTTTTGTACTGAGGATCGAACTCGGGACCTTCCGCTTTCGAGGCAGGCGGTGTCCTCAGATCTTTGGGAAAAGGTATTGGGTATAAATTTCCTGTAAAAATTGAATTTGCAACAGGCCCCCCCTTTTTTTTTTTCCGTAGCGGGGATCGAACTGCTGAGCTAAATCCCTGGCCAGGCCCTTATTTGCAACCCACTCTAGAGTTTTTGCACCTGACACTTCAGGATATCTTTGATCTGGGTAGATTTTTTTCTGAAATGTAAAACAAATTGAAGAGATAAGTGGAGAGTGATTGGTTGTGTGTTTTGTCAATCTCCTTTGCAGTAGGAAATCCTCTGAACCTGGAGGGCAAAAATACCAAGTTGATGGTTAGCCTCTGGAGCTGTTGAATTCCTATATTTGGTTCCACTTTGCATTACAGTGTGCCGTTTGGGTGGCAGAAAAATAATTCCTCCAAAGAGCAGAATTTTGTATCTCTTGAAAATGTGTCACTCTCTTGCCACAGGACCTTCCACACCTCTTGGGTCAGGTTGGTTGTGAGACAGGGTCATGGTGTGTAGTTAGGCTGGCCTCAAACTCATGTTGATCCTCCTGCCTCAGCCGCCGGTGTGCTAGGATTACAGGCACCACCACACCCACCTCTTTAAATTGCTGTGTTGTATAGTTTAAATGATATACCCTGACCACCTCCCCATCAGAAGTGCCCTGTTCCTCTTATAACATTATGTCTTAACCCCTCACACAACAATCAGTATTTAGTGGGTTTTTACTGGCAGTTGTTTTTGTGTTTGTTTGCTCATCTTCCTTCTCTAGAAAGTAAGCTTGACATCCCAATGATGAATGTAACTGTATTTTATACCTAAAATGTACCAATAAACTTAATGGAAAGTATACTTGACAGTAGCTGCTATAGTGTCAGGTCCTGGGCCTGAAACATGTGACTAAAGCGTGATAACAGTTGCTCAGTGAACCTTTTTTGAATACTTATGGAAGTGATTGAGTTTTTTAGATTTTGAAAATACTTTATGTAAAGGCTATACATAAATTGAGGGGTTAAAATGTTAGTTTAAGTGAATAAATAGTTGTGGGGTTTTTTTTAACAGAGTCTTTTGTTGTTTGTGTTTTTTTGTTGTTTTGAGACAGGGTGTCACTGTGTAGTCCTACCTGGCCTTGAACTCATTAGGTAGCACAGGCTGGCCTCGTACTTGCAGTGATCCTTCTGCTTCAGCCTCCTAAGTGCTGGTATCACAAGTGTGTGCCACCAGGGTCTTATTTTGTAGCTCAGATTGGCCCTGAACTTTGGATTCTCCAGTCCCATCCTCCTGAGCTCAGTGATTGTAGGCATATGCCACCACGCTCAGCCTAAATTTTTGCTTTTAACACTTTTATCTGTTTGGGGATTTTATATTAATGCAGTCGTGTTACATGTGCTCCCTTTTTTTTTGCTGTACCAGGTATAGATTCAAAGACCTTTGCACTGAGCTACCTCCCCAGTCCTTTTATTTTCCTCCAGCCACAGGAGCATTGGGGAACAGTTGGGTGGGGGTCTTGGATCTTCTCTCTCCTCCCCTTCCTGTCAGTCATCACTCCAGGAACTGTATTGCTTTTTTCTTTTTTTTTGAGACAAGGTATCACTATGTAGTTCAGGCTGGCCTTAAACTCACAATGATCACTGCTGCCTCAGCCTCCTGAATGCTGGGATTACAGGTGGGCACCACCATGCCTGGCTAGCTGTGTTGCTTTTTTTTTTTTTGTACTGGGGATCGAACTCAGGACCTTGCGCTTACAAGGCAGGTGGTGATGTATTGCTTTTTAATATTGCACTGAAGGTTTTTTGAATAAAATTTTAAAACTTTTTTTAAAATTTTGAGTTAGGGTCTTGTTGAGTTGCTAATTTGCCCAGGCTGGGCTCAGATTTGATCCCCTTGCCTCACAC